AAAAAAATAGATCATAACCATATTTATGATAATTTTCCAGGCAAATTTTCCTGGAAAAGCCTACAGTTTAAGGGATAGTATACATATTCAAATTTTTTCACATCTAAAATAACCATTTAAGTTTCTACATGGCAAAAATTTTTAATAAAATATGTAATTAAAGAATCAAAGTTATATTCCAGGTTACAATATTTAACTGTATATGCATAAAAGGTATTTAATAAAGGATTAGTTTATAAGTCGTTATTTATTTGGCTTTTATGCTATATATTTCTTAAAATAATGCAATTAATAACGAGTATTACCAATATTGGGCGTTGAATATGATGTGTGAAAATATTACGACGCTGGGAAGTTCTACTGGGCAAATAGTTGTTTCAGGTTAAACATCTTTCAGACGATTCATTTATTCGACCACATAAATTTCGTATATATCGATATGGCAAATATTCCCACTTGAATTACAATTCTTATCTTAATATCTGGCACTTGATGTAAAAATAAAAATAAAAGTAGATCATTAAGCGCAATAATCGTCAACAATAATTATAGGATTGATTGTGGCCGGATACTCCCGAACATCTTTTTAATAATCTGGAAATGGCGTAGTCTGAAATCCTCGCACAATTTCCAAATGAATGACGCCATTATTTATTATTTACCGGACTTGGCCTGATCATAGACATATCTATGAAAGTCCCTATTTGAAAGCAAGTGTCAAACGATGATTTTCCTCGACATAAATAAATTTGACTATTTCATCTAGTATGTATATCGTGACCAGAATTAGGGTTAGGGTTAAGATAAGGTTTGTAATGTTAGTCGCCAGGTGGAAATAGCAAATTACCATTGTAGAGAATAGTAATTTCCTAAATTTAGGCAATTTTTGCGGCCAAATAATATTTAGATTTTTTTTTTCTTTTTTTCCGGCCAATTCCAATTGGCCAACAGCGACAATAAATGTCCAATGGCCAAACTTCGGCCACAACTTTCTAATTTATATAATATATATAAGCCAATCATATTATTAGTTTTTCTATACAAATATTTTGCCATTTCGGTCAAATAATTTTTTTTTAAATTTAGCCATTGGATGGTGCATAATAAATGTCGCCGTTCAAGGCTAAATCCTCTAAATAATAAACTTGAAATCCCGAAGTTTTTTGCAATGTACATTACGCCTACGTACAAAATATAAGTGCCGCCAAGGCAAAACCTGAATCCGGAAAGTACAGGTTATTAAAATCATTAGTGATTCATTGTAATGGTAATAACCTGTACTTTCCGGTTTCAGGTTTTTCTTTGGCGGCACTCTTCCATCTTCCTCGCTGTTCACGTGATCTTATAATTTAATTAATTTTAATATCGTTCTTAGAAATAATATATTCCTTCACAGTCCTATTCACAGCATGTTCGAGTGGACTATATTGAAAAGCACGTAAAAGCAATTTTTTTTAACGAAGTTATTTTTCTTAGAACCTTTAACGCGAAAAACAAATTATAAATTAACTTTTAAATATTTGATAAAATGCTATAATGTCTGCACATTTATTTAATTACATATTATATACTAATAATTGTATTAATCTCTAGTTATGTCAATTTCTCTATTTGCTAGTAAATATCTATTTAAAAGTAACCTATAAATGACGTAAATTAATATTCCCAATACAGTAAGAAACGCTTTCTTGGGCAGTTGGATGACGTTTCAAAAGGTGGCTTACTGGTCACAAAAGTAGTTCATAAATGCTTTTGCGACCATTTCAAGTTTAAAAAGTGAAGGGAAATAAAAGATAATTCGAGTAAAATTGAGTAAAATAGTATTATTTATCTTTATGAAAAAGTAACTCTAATCAATTTTAAATTTAACTATAGCAAAAATTACATTAAAAAAAAAATAAATAAGTAAAAGTATTATCATAATTGTAAACTGTACATTTATTGTCTTCTAACTAAATGAAAAACCTCAAATTCTTCAGCTGAAAACACATCAGGACTCGATCTAATTGGGAATTCATATCTTTGACGTAGACACTGACAACAATCTGCATTAAAACTTCCCCAAGTTTTCAAATCATTTTGACCCCATTGAGGACCATAACTTGGATAAATATAAATAGCATTATCAATATGATTCGCTCGAACCCTGCTAAGTATAGGTTTATCCTGACCATCAAAACTAAAAATAAAACTATCTTGTGTAGATTTCCAACCGGAACCATTCCAACTCAATGGATTATACCCACCAACTATCTCATTAGTTCCTGTTACTTTTAAAACAGTAATTGTTCTTTCATAGTAATCACATTTTTTATGAAATTCAGCAGATGTAAAACCATCACGAGTTCCTCTCAAAACCAATTTAAATTCATATGGAATTGAAGCCAACCTGTAGCCTTGAGGTTTACGATCCACCCAACTAGCGATCATTGCAACATGTTTAAGATTAATAATAGAAGAATTTACGCGATCAGATCGTGGAGGATGAATTAAATCGAATTTAAGAGCATTTTTAGGTTTAATATATATTGCCAAAGAACTTCTTCATATAATTCTTCAGGGAATATTGATTTAAATGGTCTAACCTTTGCGTAAAAATCTTCAGGTGATATTGCAGATAATCTAATATGAGGTATACATTTATGTAATCTTTCTTTTAAAATTAAAAAATTTTCATCGGACCATTCCATAAAATTATCACCGAGTGAAGGAGTTTGACCACATCCCCATTGTACAAGAAAATCCCAAGTTGTAATTTCTTCCATGATTAAATCATCACGTTGAAGTAAATTTTCTAAAATTAATTCATCACATTGAAGAAAAGAACTTGATCGAAATATTATATCAGGATTAGGACATATATAATCTAAACAAAATTCTTGAAGTTTTTTCCAAAGATCATGTTTAAATGCTGTGTGAAGAATTTTATCAAAATTTTCATATAGCCATTTATTATGTTTGAGAATGAATTGTTCTTCCACATAAGAAATCATCTCGGGAAGAATTAGTTCATCAGCGGCACATAAAAGATCAATTATTTTTA